TTTCAAAAAGAGCACATTTCTATGCGATCAATTTTTGCAATGCTCAAAATCTGATCTCTCAAAGTTTTGTCCATTTTGAAAACAAAAAGTACAACTATGGAATAAGTGCTCTTATGTAGATTGTAGAGCTTTTCATGCTGCATCTGACGGTATGTTTCGATCATTGATGCAATGTATTAAGGGACGGAAAATTAACCTGTCTTATCCGTTATAAGCCAGTATAACGATCACGAATGATAACGAAACGAATCTTACTGGAAATGTATTACCATTATATTATGTGAAGTATGATCAAATAGCATAGAAAGAAAGAGCATTTTTTTCTCTATCATCCTGAGTAAAAAGAAACTTTTATCAAGCTTACTAAGCGGTACTAAAATGTCGTTGCCACTACTTTTGGATACCCCTAAGTATATTAACTTCAGTTATTAGAATAGAAGAAAAAATATTGTATGGACCTACTGGCTTATTGTTGATTTCTATACTATCCATCTTGTCTAATGGATTGTCAGATTTTCTAAATAGTCTACTCACAATTTCTCCCATATTTATTTCAAACTATAATAAAATAGGCTTTTATATGCTGACAAGATGACGTAATCTTTCATTGTTTTTTTTCCAATTAACTCATCAGATGTTGGCATATCAGTCGTGCAGGAACGAAAAGGAAAAAAAGCTCTCCTGTTTATTGATTCAAATAAAACGAGAGAAAAAGCCAAGTTGCATCATTTGGATTTTTTCTGGCAGGTTATAAATGATTTGTGTACGCATCAGAATGTCACTCTTTCCAATAGTCTCTATTTTCAAATTTCTACTATTGTAAATAAATGTGCAAAATAATTGATAAAATTAATTATTTTGAAAAAAACACGTCTTACACATTCGCATTATATTTTTTGTCTGTACTTAATATTAAAATAGAAAAGGAATGAAAAAAAAACAATTTAGTTGACTACAAAAATCAGTAATACCTTCAGAACTAGATAAAAACAAAACCATCAATAAGAACATTACATATATATTTATATCGGGTGACCCATAATGAATGTTTAACTGCACATCTTAAGAATAGAAGAAAAAAATTCTTCAAGATCTTTTGAACAAGTAATCGAAGTTTTACCTCGAAATAATTTCAAATTTAACTTTTAACTGATGTCAAATTTGCATTCATTACTTTTTCTTTATGTTAATCTTGGAAAAATAGCAGTCAATTACTCACATATTTCAAGTCACTTTTGTCATTCCATTACTATTAACCGTTATCTAGGTGAAAGAAAATTCATTAACATCTGTCGTCAAGAGACATCAAACGAAGAGAACAGCATGATAATATCCTGATCAAAATAATAAAGATTTTAAAACTAAATTCAATAATTCTTTTTTAATATGTTTACCAACATAGCTTTTTTTTAAGTATGAGCGAAACTTAAATATTAATTCTCTTGGATGATAGTTTCGATGTGACTCTTCAAAGATATATGAATCTTCAAAATCTATTCATTTTTAAATATGGAAAAGAAACAGATTCTACATAACAAACAGTGTCATTTAACTTTGTTTCAATAAAATTTATAGATCAATTCTTGTTGATTGAAATAAGAAAAAATGATTATAATTGTAGATTGTTATGTATTTTAATGCCATTTATTAATTCGAAATATGAAGTTATATGTACAAGACGCAATTGAAGATTAGTTTTCATTTACGAACATTGATTCAGAAAAAAAATAAAGCAACAAGACAAATAGACACAACAATTTAATGTTTAAACTTTATTCATATTCGTAGAATCTTTATTTGATAGACAAGTGGAATAATCTGAAAAATAAATTATATAATTTTTTTTATATGATAATAATTCAATTTTATAGTAGAAATTGAATTTAAGCGTTACATCAGCGACTACAAAAATATTCACTTTGTTTTTTTGTTTAACATGATTTATCGAGAAAGAGTAAAACTAATTTGAAAAGTGTTGCATCATTTTAAAATTGATTCAAGAATATTAAGTTTAGTTTTGTTCAACAACAGATGTAAATGATGAAAAAAAAATACTTTGTTGTAGCTGCTGATGCGACATGTAATTAAAATGAATCCGATGATTGTGCATCTATCAACGACCAGAAATGGGATTAGTTCGATTTAGAATCGAACCGGGTACAACTGCAGAAGAACGACACGCTCTACAGTAAATGATCTAATTGATAGGGCACATCAAAGAGTGTGGGTGCCGCGGCGTCGTTCTTGTGCAGTTGTACCGTTTCTTCATCAATTATACATCGATACAGCGGATCATAAATTGAAGTACCAATAATAAAAATCAATAGAATAAAAATAACTATATTATCTATTTGTTTACTTTTTGGCTTGTTAAAATGAGTAGCTTTTATTATTGTTCCTGCTCGTTCTGTAGCAACACAAGCATTTAACCATTAATCCATATTAAGACAAATTCGTAAAATAAAATCGATTCGATATATATATGTCATTTGTGCAAGGAGAAATATCCAAAATTTTAATCCAAAGAATATTGTAACAAGCAAAGTAGTAATTGATGAACCTAATAGATACAAACCACAACTAACTTCACATATATTTTTATTTTTGAATGTTATTAAAGCAAGAACACCATTAGTAAATCCTGCTGTTATAAAGATTATAGTTAATGCAAAACTAATTTTAACAATTTTTGATTTATATATAATACTAATATGTGGCAGAATATGATAACCTAAGATAGCATTAAGTGATAAACCAAATTCATTTCTACGAAATTGACATCGTGTTCCAAAAAAACATGCTGGATAAATACACATTGTTCTTTGTGGACAATCAGGTTTGTCTTGAAAACATTGGCCATCATTGTCACAAACACTTTGACCTAAACAATCAAATGTCATATTATGATTAAAGTTAAAACAATTCGATAAACATTTTTGTCCATAATCATAACATAGACAAAAATGAATATTATCATAAAAACAAGAAAGATTTGATGAATATATTTGACATGGTAAATGATAATATTTAATTAGATGAAATTGAGTAAAAGTTTTATTAAATAATTTATTTATATGCTGACAACGATCTGATGCATTGATCATTTTAACAATTGTTGTTGATTGTTGATATGTTTTTTGTATAACAGCTAAATAATAGATTTATTAATAGATTCTATAAAAACAAGATGAAATGGTAATGACCAATAAACTATAAATGAATCTTGTGTAAAAGGAATTGTTCGAAAAGTTGTTGCTCTTATTGGTGTACCATTATTAATAATTTCAATAAAATGAATAAATATTGATTGAGATAAAACTATATCTTTTCTAAATGAGAGAATTATTTTATTATCAACTATTTCACATCGTTCTCCTGTATAACGTTTTGAACAGAGACATTGAAATTTTTTATTTAATCTATATATATAATGTTCAGTGTCTGCTTGTGTGTGTGTTTCTCTATGCCGGGTCAAAGGCTAAAGGTCAAATAAGACTATAAGGAGAAGGTTCTCAAGGGTTATTATATGGGACTACCCATAAGTCCTTAAGAGCTATTATAGGGGGTACCTATAAGTCCTCAACGGCTATTGTATGGTATATCTATAGGACATGAAGAGCTATAATATGGGGGTAGCCATAGGGTCTCACGGGACCGAGGCAATAAGGAGATAAGGCTACAATAGCTACAAGGAATACACGGCTATACGGCCGAAGGCTACATGGACTATAAAAATATGTGTGATATAAGAATATCGGGCCGTAGGACTATCTATCTATATACATAATATCGAGTGTCTGTATGTCTGTTCCTGAATAAAAATTTAAACGTCTTCGATCATACGTTAAAGAAGACAACAGCCGTGCAGTATGCACGGGCTCTCGCTAGTATCATATATTGATCCGTAGGAATACATTGACCACCATTTTGACAAATTAAATTATTATCCAGTTTACATATTGTATCAACAAGAAGACATCGATCACCGAATTTATTAATAGGACAAACACATGCAGATCGATTGCTAGCTGAAACACCAATACATACTGAATCAGATGCACATATGTAACTATATGGAATAGTACAGTATTGCCCAAATCATCCTTGATAACATTGACAAAAACTAATATTTTGTAGATTATTTGAATATTTGATACATTTACCATGAGTACGTTGAAGATTTGAACAAGTTTGAATATTTTCATTATTTCGCGGAATATCAGTTATACATGCTAGACGATAAACAGGTAAAAATGGAAATGTTATTGTAAATAATAAACTTCCTCGACAGTTTAATGAAATTTTTTTCATAAATATCAATATGTATTGCATAATCTTTTGTTAGTGTTTTCGGTTGAGTGGAATAAAGTAAATAAATATTAAAATTAATTTTACAATCTCTTATTGATAAATATGTAAATTATTCATATGAATGAATAATTCTTTCTTCACTATCATCAATAAGTGAAATAATTATTACAAATAATGTTGACCAAGAATCGGATAATGCTCGAAATTTATGTGTCAAACTTACTTATTGGTTTTGATATTGACATAAATTACCATAAAAACTAGGCGGACAAAAACATGTATTTGCTGTTAAGTTCTTTTCATTATTTAATCAAACACGTAAATCAAGACCACGATGATAATGAGCTTCATGTTTAGGAGACATTTTAATAATAGAATTACTTGAAAATATGGAATTTTTCATATTATTTCTTTGATTTTCGACAGATGTGTTCATTATGTCGAGTGAAAAAAATTTCATTTGTTGTTTCGTCTTTGATTGTGTTTCGTAACATAGAGATTTTTTGACATCAAAACCAAAAGATATATACGATGATTGACAAATACCATTTATGGTTTTATTTGTTCAATTTTTTACACAAAAATGTTCATCATCTTCATATTTACAATTTATATTACCATCACATAATCGATTAGTACTAATGCATGATGAAGATGTTGAATTTCTGCAGTAAAAAGTATGATACATACTTCGTATTGTCTTTCTTGACATAATGTTGGCTCGTCAGTAGCACCAAGACAATCGATCTTGTCATAGTTTGCTTTCTTCATAGGTAAACATATTAATTGGTTTGTATGAGGTGAAACACATATATGTTGATCTGAAGAACAATTTAATATTGATGATAAATTACAACCAATTTCATCCTCACCATGAGGACAATTCCATAAACCATCACAACGAGTATAAATATTATTACATGACCATTGTTCACATTCTGTTTCATCTCGTTCTTCGACAGTTATTGGCAATAGTTCAGTAAATCCATAACAAATAGTTTGAAATGAAATATTCTTTCTAACATATTGAAAATTTAGATATTCATCTTCACACCACTAATAAATAAAAAGTGAACAATCGCACTTTGTACTAGCAACTGATGATTGATGAATATATCTGTTAGTTAGTTCACATTTGAAATGTTTTTTTAATTGTTTTGTTAAACCAGTATAATTAATGTGTGTAAAATTTTCGTCATCTCTCTGAGGACAATTAATTGTACGGGTCCATAAGACGATTTAGTGGAATACATTTCGTTGATTTAAAAGAGTGATACATGTTTGGTCTATTACAAATTTCAGAAGTATAGTTAATGACTACATTATATCCTTTAAGTTCTCGGCATAAATTATATAAAGGCATATAATATTTTAGTTTCCATGAATAAGCTAGTATCATAAGAGACAGTAACTCTTTAGGAGAAAAACATGTTCCATTATCAAATAAAATCTTTGGATGATGAGCAAAATATTTATCATAACGAAAATTTTTATAATATAAATAAGGCGATTCAATACCTCCATAAGCCAATGATAATGATTCATTTTTTGTTTGAGCAAGATAAATATGACCAAATAAAAGTGAAATATTTGGAACGTAAAATATATCTGGACAAGTATTCTCGATGATCTCTACACATACCTGTTTTTCACAAATCTTCTTACAAAATAACATATTCTGAATCGGATACATTTACCCACGGAAAAAATTTTTCAAAAAAACCGCGGTTTTGGCCGGTATTTTCAAATGTCGGTAGTCAGACCATCTATGCGTTTCTTTAAAACCGCTCAAAACCGCGGTTTTTGAGCGGTTTTTCCGGGCACACTAGAGTGAACCGACTCCAGCATGCCGACCATAATCTGAAGCTTTCAGGCATGGTGCCTTTCTAGGGGCAGTGAAGTGAACTCTCTTGAGCTCCATTTCCACAAAGTATCTTTGTAGAGTCAGATGAATTATCTGTGTAATGATCGAAGAATTTGGCAGAAAAAGTGGGGCACGACATCTTAACTGTCCTTACACATTACTTTACACTTCGATATGCACGGCGGTTTTCACAACAACACCGCGGTTTCCTGAATCGCGGTTCTGTCAGTGATGAACGCGGTTTTTAAAACCGCGTCTGCCAGCGGTGTAGCACATCACGGTGCGGATACGCGAAACCGCGGTTTCTGAAACCTTTACTAACCGCGATATAGAGCACTGAGATTTCGCCACAGAAAATCGCGGTCCTTCTAGTTATACCGTGGTGAGTTGAAAGAACCGCAGTAAACTTTATTTTTAAATTTTCGTGGCTTCGTTTTAAAATAAAATGAATCTTCTACCATATGAATTCTCTTGAAACAGTCTGCATTAACAATCATTCGTTTTTATTAATTTATCGAATAGCTAATACTGTTTTTTTGTGACTCTACTTCAATCTCTCCTCAACAGAAACAGATTGAAAAATAAATAAAAGCTGTAGCATTTTTTATCAGTCGATTTGTGAAATTTCTACCACGATAATTTTCAGATGAATCGAAAATCGTTCTATTGTGCTAGATTAAGTATCTTCTGGTATATCAGCTTAAAATGAAAATGATAGTGAACAGATGTATTTCAAATTAATAGAGATTTCTTTTAAACAAAATGAAAAGTCACCGCGGTTATAATAGAGAACATCGCGGTTTAGAAAACCGGTGATAACCGTTATATGTGAAACCGCGGTTTATAAAACCGGCAATGACCGATATAATGAAAACCGCGGTTATGATACAGTAAACCGTGGTTTATGAAATCGGTGATAACCGCCAAATTTGAAACCGCGGTTACGAGTGCACACATCGCGGGTTTTTGTGAACGCGGTGCAAGAAACCGCTGTGAACCGCGGTTTTCATATAAAAATTTTTCCGTGGGTACTTCCATATTCAACAACAGTTCAACTTCTGTACTCGCAAACTATTTTACTTTTATTTGAAAAATACTAAATATTTATACACGAGAATAGATAAAGAAGACAACAGAGAAAAAGTCGAGAAGCTTTGTTTCCTGTTTTAGATAGTGAACAATAAGCAGAGTTAAAACAATGATTCTTCTTATTCATAAGATGCGTGGGCTAAAAGAAATAGGTCAAAAGAACAAGAGTATATGTAGAACAGTTAAAGAGACAAAGAAAAAGAGAAGTGATTTATCCTATAACCATTTCAACTTTTATACTGATACTTTAATATAATTTACTGCTAATAAATAGTACTTTCTGATTTTTAAATTTATTTACAAACGTAATCAATTAATAACTGACCGTTTAAATAATTTATGGATCAATAATTGATTTTACTGATTTTATAATTATTTTATCTACTGACCATTTCATTTATTTACTGATCATCTCATTTTTTACTGACCATAAATCATATTCCCAAAGAAAACTCCTTTGACTATTAAAAGTACTATCTGGATTTGAGCTAGATGCTTAATATTAGAGAAAAACATAAGCAAAAATGCATTGTTTTTAAACTTTGTTCCACCATCTTACTGGTGGCTGACAGGTCGAATGGCTGAAACTCCAGAAACTTTTTAAAATTGTTGTTAACGATGATCCCATGGAAACCTGAAGACGCTTCAGTCCTCTTGGTGCCACTGTTACAAATATGTGTCAAAATTTTGAAGATAGTAATTTTTTCTTCGTTCATATGCGGCAGTTCAATCGATTACTCTTTTTTGTTTTTTGTCCTTTATAAATTTAAGCCTGACAACTAGTCTTTGTAATTGTAAAATGGAAGTTTTTTTTTGATAGTAATAAAATTCATTAAAGTAATCGACTTCTTTTTATATTTTTACACAACAACGTCGAGCTATAATATTCATTGAAATAAGTTGTATTTGTTCTCTTTCACTTGATCCACTTTTCTAAGTTCGATTATTTCCAATGAATTTATTCGATTTCCTTTTTGTTTAGTTACTTCAAAAAATGATACGGATGAAAAACAAAATATAACCTGGGAATTTTGATATCATCATGTCATTAATATACAGAAATAGTAAAATGAACGCTCTGTTATTTCATTTGTTTTTGTTTTTTCATCTTTAATGTATGACTACTTCAAAAAATGAGTTACTTATTATTATCATTCAGATATATTCTCATCATCAATATCTTGTCGTTCTCTTTTTGTCACAATTTATTCCAATGATATTATTTACATTTTAGATTTAAAAAAAATTTAACGAATTCAAGTACTTCATGAAAAGTTTGGAATACGAGTGAATCACTAAGGAACTAATAAACTGTTGTCGAACGACTTATACAATCGCTCCAAAAATTGAACCTATAGATTTCATTTCGATTTTCGTTCGTGATTGTAACTCGCATAAAGAATTGAAAAAGTAATTTGAATACAGGAATTTTTTTCTAATAAAAACATAACGAAAATGAAATTCTAATTGTATATTCAAAATTTAGAATGTCTAGAAAATCTAAAACATAGTTTTTGACCACTCAGAATTTCAAAATAAATGTTTCTTTTGGTAGAGCAACTGTTTCTCTAAAAAAATGAGATGTTATTGAGCTCTTCATGACATTTTTTGATTGAATTATGTCAAATTCAAGAGAAGCACAAAAGCGGTTCTTTTCTCTATTTCCTATTTGAACAAGGACTTGTATGCTTATCTTAAACTTGATGTAGTACAGTCACAAAATGTCATGGACAGCTCAGTGACATCTTATTTGCTAGAGAATTAGTTGTTTTTACAAAAAGAAGCTTTTATTTTGGAAATACAGTGAGAGTTTCATTTTCCTCACATCTGTGTTGGAAAGAAATTTCTTTATCTATGAAAAGATGGGAAATCCTCAGGTAGTTAAATTTGAAGACCGAAGAAAATGAATATCTGACAGAATGTCGTTTATTGCAAAATAACACTCTACATAAAAAACATTTATGTAGCTGAAGAGATTCTCTATTAGGTAGAGGTCTGCGTGACAAACTTTTTTTGTGTCCAGTCCCGAATTTTTTTTATAAATAGTCCCGATCCCGAATGTCCCGTCCCGAAGTTTTTCAAATTGTCCCGTAAAGTCCCGTTTGTCCCGTTCATCAGAAAAAAATATAAAGATGTGACTCTGTCGAAGAAGACAACATGTATTTTCTTTACCATCAATAGGAAAAACGGAACAAGTCAAGTTTATGTGAACATCTTAGCTTTTGCGACTACTTGACTGCTACAGTTTTATTATGCACAGAAAACGATAACACAGCCAAAAATACCCGACGGTCATCCATCTGGACTCCATTTTAGATCATTAGAAACTTTCAAAAGTGCTCGATCTCCCTTACCTAATTTAAATAGAAAATTTAAGCGAAATTTCCATAGAATAAGAAAATTTTATTATAAATAAAAAATAAGTCAAAAGAGCAAAACAAAAACTGTGTATTTAATACTGTATAAATATGAATGAGTGATCCAATAATATATCATGATAAGTAGATAAGAAATTGATTTATTCAAACGCAATAACAAATACACATCGTAAAAGAACATCCATTGAAGTCATTATGCTCTGCTTCTTCATTCTCAATTTCATAGAATTTCAACTGCTTCAACACCGTCAACAACACCAAATCAAAAAAAATCAAATTAATGACAGAGACTCAGGAAGTCGATGGAGCAACAACCGACGAAGCTAATGACGATGAACAACTTTAGACAAGTCTCTCAATATTTCTTTTTTTTCTGCTATTTGTTGAAAATATTAACATGTTTGTTAGAAACAAAAAAGTTAAAGTGTACGACACGTTTTTATATATGGATAAAAATATTCGGGACATAGGTTTTTTTTCTATATTGTTCCGGCCCCGTTTGTCCCGTCCCGAAAAATTTTCGGGACAATCCCGATTGTCCCGCGGGACGGGACAAACGGGATTTTTCGGGATTCGGGACTGTTCCGCAGTACTCTACTATTAGGATTTGTAGATCCAAAAATTTCAGCGAAACTGCTTATATGAGAGGGTGGAAAACCAACGCTTCTAAAACTAGCTTTCTGGCTTCTATTCGAACTTTTTCGGCTAACATTTTATTTGTCAGAATGAATGATTCGTCTTCAGACTTGCTTCGTTGAATTGAATCCAACCCATAGAATGCCCAAGAAACATCTCTCTCTCTCTCTCTCTCTCTCTCTTTTTATTGATAATTTCAATGTCTTTGCCAAGTTTGACGCTTTGAAGTCTTCCGTAAATTGAATTTAGTTCGACGAAGAAAGATCGGAGACGAACTATTTGCATTATCAAATAAAATCTTTTCCCAAAAGCTTCAAATAGAAGTCACAGTCTTGGTTTTCTGCAGACACTCACCAAACAATTGTGTTGGAGTCTTCGGACCTACCAATCCTAATAGAGAATCCTTTTAGCTATACAATTGTTTTTTTTAGTATCTTGCTAGCTACTACAGGTGTGAACGCGATAGAAATGTTCATGAAAGGAGCTAAAAGGAAGCAGTAAGATGGAAACACCACCACGTAGATCTTAGTCACTATNGGGTACGTTTAGATGGTCTTTAAGATGATTATTTTTTGATAAAATTACTCAAGGTGTTACAAGGATACATCGTTAGAAAAAGTTCAGGGAATTTTTTTCATATCTTATTCTATGTCTACCAGTGCGTCTTCTCACATCCATGGCTAATCCGAGTGTCGTATTTCGGATTTGGTGGAACGCACACAATTCTTTAGATTCTGCCTAGTTCTAGCAGATTGTTATATCCTTAAAACTAAATTTTCAATAGTTAAATAACAACTGAGTTAAACTAAAAGTAACCCTCTCTAAAACTGATTTTTGTTTTGTGTATAGTTCAAATATTCTTTGTAATACTTGTATAAAAAAAAATAGATGAGTATTAAGTTTGTGACCATTTCGTTACACAGAACTCACCTAAAATCCTCGACTTTTTAGTATACTCTCTAGAAATTTTTGGGTATTCATCTCACTGGATATCTCGACTTTACCTTGTCGTTACTCAGCTTATGGCTATTATGACATCTCTGGATTTATAATAAATGATAAACGGAAAAGATAATGATAATTTAAAAAAGCTCATCGAAATTTGTGTAAGCTTCTAGTCGAAAACCATTTCTGTCCAACTTTTTATTAATCATAAATAATGAGATAAAATCAACTTATTCGATACAATACAGTTTGCATTTAAAGGTGAAGAACAATGACTACAATTATATTAGTTACATTGACATTTTTAGCTAATCCCCTTGTTTTTCAGCTATTGGCGGTTTTTTTGGATTACTTTGGCAACGTTCTATGATCCATTGTTATCTGTTCATGGGTTGACCAATAAAATTCTCCTATCGTCATTGGATCGATTTCCAATAGTATCGCTGACAGCTGCTAATCCATATAAGCAGTGAAAGTTTATGTCACATTCTTTTATGTTGCTTTTGCCTAGTGTTCTTTTGATAAATTAATCCCTATTAAAATATTTTCAATCAGATCAATATTATATTGTTGAAGCATAATAATGAATTAAGGATAAGAAAAATGTTTTTTTATTCTGTACTTTTGATTTTTTTTTCTACGCGCTGGATTATAAATACAAATGACATTATTCAAATATGTTGTCGTATTTCAAATATCAAAAGTTTTGTATGAAAAGAAAAAGCTTGTGTTGAATCAATGATACACATAAAATCATTCTATTACTTGTTTTATCTTCGGTGGTATTACTAATTTCATGTATTGTTCGTGTATATAAGTTAACAAAACTGAAATAATATTTCATGCCAAATGATTCAATCAAAATGCAGATATGTATTTTGGCTTTTTTTCGTCATTTCTTTAATAAAAGCAGACGATTATCAATCTCAATGTCCACCAACGACAGCGTCAATTGAACGTATTCTTCAAGATGCGCATATACTAGGAATAGTAGCAACTGTCGTTAATTCAGCTGGTATTATCCATGAACAAGGAATCGGTTATCATTCTCCCCCTATTTCAGAACAACGTCAACCAATGGATTCCTCAAAGTCTATTTTTGTATTAGCTTCCATCTCAAAAACATTCATTGTTGTAGCAGCTATGCAAATGGTAGAATCAAATCGTCTTAATCTTGATACAGATATCAATCAATATTTGCCATCTCAAATGAAAATTATTCATCCACATCATCCAAACGTAAAAATTACCACTCGACATTTACTTTCACACACATCTGGTATTGGTCCAAATTTCTTAGAAGAACTTCAGCAATATCTTCCTGGTGATACTTTTGCACAAACCAATCTTGGAGATGTTATTGAGAAATATTTGAGTAATAAAACAAATTGGTTACCTATTCCACCTGGTAATAAAACATTCTATTCAAATATGGGCAGTTGTTTAGCGGCATATATCATCGAACGTTTAGCTGGAATATCTTTTGAACAATTCGTTCAAGATAAAATATTGAAACCATTGGGTATTGATGAGAAAAGTGGAGGTTATCGATTAAGTAATTTTCAGGATAACACAAAGAGTCTTGTTGACCATTATATATTCAATGCATCATGGCTTGAAATCTATCAAGATATGCTACCACAATTGAATATCTCTCGAGTGAGTTTGGAGAATATTACATCAATGGCTGATCTTTCTTTTGATAATTTGACCAGACTTATATGAGAATTTTGTTTTTATTAGGCAGGAAATTTCTCCAATTGGTTACACATTCCTTTTCATGGTGCAAGTAGATATCCGTCTGGCTTTTTGCGCATGTCGGCTCATTCACTTAGTCTATTTCTTCACTCATTTCTTAATAATTTTACAACTCTTTTACATAATTCATCATCAATCGAAGAAATGCTTTATATTTTTCCTCAAGAGAGTTATATGAATACATCAACTACTAAATTTAGTCTTATATGGAATTGGGGTGTTCTAGGTGATCGGTATTTGGTTGGACATCAAGGTTCTGCGGCCGGAATAACCAATATAATGATGGTAAATGAGAAAAGGAACTTAGGTGTCATTCTATTAACAAACGGTGATGTTACAAGACCGAATGATGAATCAAGAAATGTTAGAGAGACAATAATCAAGATAATGACTCAATTGTTCGATTGTTTTGAGACAGAGAAAAATAGAGGCTGATCTCAATATCCTCTAATGATATATATGTCGTTGGTGATTTCTATTTATTGACTTCTCATTTGATAAATTTAGAAAAAAAACTGTGTGAGTTCTATCAATAAAGTTTTATGAAGATTGAGCCGTAAATGTGGCATGATGAGTGGGTGTGGGTGAATAGAAGACCAACGCCCACACCCTTTAGTGCATATGACAACGACAAATGTCTTAGTGCCTGGAAAGTGTAGGTGTGGGTGTGCGTGGGGATATGGGTGTTGAGTGCGAGTAGGAATATTGTTCTCATACCTCACACCTATGCTGAACATGATGGTTTCTGGTAGGAATCTCGTTCCATAAGGCGAATGATGTGCAAGAAGCAAAACTTGCGATAACGGTGCGAAATGAGCATGTTCACTTAGATCAACACACAGGCACACCCGAAAGAAATTTTTTGCTCGATGATCCCCATTCAAAATGGTACCCTTCGACGAAGAATCTAATTCTGAATCTAACACAATTAGTTCAAGATCCAGTACTGGCGAGAGAGAAAATCCACACAAGAATTACTGACTAAATCGAATCGAAATTTGAGTATTTCATGCAAAACCTCTGTTTTTTTTGCGTGGTGAGCCCCGTTAAAAATGATACCATCCGATATAGAATAGAATTCCGCATCTGGTACAGTCATCTGGAGACCCAGCACAGGTTACGAGGCGGATGTGGACTAGAAATACTGTTTTTGTATTATCAGCACGAAGGCAACAAGTGAGTTCTTAAGTAAACCGCAGTTGTTGCATGGTGATTCTCATTGAAAAGAGTACCAGTCGATAAAGAATGAAATTCTGCACCCAGCGCAATCCTTTGGATACCCAACACAGGTTAGGGAGCGAATCTGGTGCTAACTTTACTTATGTGTTTCGATTTAGATATTATTATCATTCGCATCCACGCCCTCACTTTATACACTGATTTCATACTGCCATTGTGTGGATGTATAGGAATATACATGGCATTGCTTTCAATGGTCAGAAAGTCTTTAAAATCTCCAAAAGTGCCACAATAGTATTGAAGATGGGAGACTGCTTTTCGCCTACAAGTATGTAATGTACTAAATAAAAAATAGCTTTGATTTGTTGACAACGATGGCAGAATAAAACTCTTTTCTGAAGAAAAAATAACGTTACCGATAAAATGATTTACTAATAAAATAAAATAAAATTTCTTGGTACCTTCTCTTCAATACAAATCGATAATACTAAACTCATTTCATATGGAACTTTTATTAACATTCTATGTTCTTTTTTCTTGTTTAATCAAAAAACAATCCCGTTTTATTTTGTCTTTCTATTGTCCGGTAACTAAGTTGAGCGTTGTTGTGCTGCAATTAATTTCGTATAAAGACCATTTAATCTCAGAAGCTCATTATGTGTACCCTACATAAGTAAATGTGTTATTTTTCTTTGACAAGAACCATACATAATCGTATTTACCTCTTCTTTTACTTTGCCTCGATCAACAACGGCAATCTTTTCTGAATTTTGAATTGTAGAAAGACGATGAGTAATATTTAAACATGTTCGACTAAATCTCTCTTTATCTAATGCTGCTTGAACAACTTTTTCACTTTCATTATCTAATGCTGATGTTGCTTCATCAAGAAGTAAAATTTTTGGTGAACGAATTAATGCTCGAGCCATGGCAACTAAAGAATATTCGATATTCATTTAACAAAATAGTACATTATGAAATTATTTACTTCGTTGTTTTTGTCCACCGGATAATTGACTACCTTTCATTCCACATAATGTTTCGTAACCCTAAAATATAAAAAGATTAAATTAAATATATAGAAAAAAGAAAGAAACTAACTTTAGGTAATGAACGTATAAATTCGTGAATATTTGCCATTCGTGCAGCTGTTTCAATTTCATCTTGTGTTACTTCTCGACGATTATCGCCGTAAGCAATATTATCACGAATAGAAATATTAAAAAGAACTGGTTCTTGTTGAACAAAACCTATTATCGATCGAAGCCATCGAATATTAAGTAGTTTTATATTATGTCCATCGAGTAAAATATTTCCTTTTGATGGTTCATAGAATCTTTCGAATAATGCAATCGCTGTTGATTTTCCACTGCCTGATGGACCAACAAGTGCTGTTATGCCACGAGTTACACATTTCAATGAGAGATTCATGAGAACAGGAATTGTCGGCCGAGTGGGATACCGGAAATGAACATCTTGAAATTCAATATGACCTGTGACTTCTTTCTATACATCAATTAAACATTTTCCATTATTATAAATAGAAATAAACATACCAAAATTATGCCTGATTCATCATAAGGATTGATTTGGGATTGTCGTTGGTTTAGTCGCATGATTCTTAATGCTGCTTTTTTTGCTTTCGAATAATCAGGAATCAAAGCCATTGAATAGCCAATTTGGACCATAGTAAAAGTGATAACGGCGTATACTCTATTAAGAAACCTTTTATATATAGTTTCATTAGTATAACGAGTGATACAGATTAAAATGGTTCCTTTTGTTCTTTGGTTTTACTCATTTAAAACTCGAATACGTTTTAGTTTAAATTATTTGTCTTTCTATTTGTCTGAAACGTCATAAAAAGTGAAGATCTGTAACAGATAGTACTACGATTATATGAACAAAGTTTAAATAGCCGACGAAGTTCAAAATAACTTGCGAGTGAAATCTGTAAATCAATTATTAAACAATGGGCGAAAATGCATTATGATTTTAATGGAATCAATTTGACACGTCTATCTAGTTGAAAATGTTCAAAAGAAGGAAAGAGATTCATTAGAAAAGCAAATCACAAGTCATCTTTGTTGTGTCAAAAAGAAAACCAATCAAGATGTATGAATCAAACTTCCTGATTCACGAAAACAAATATGATTTTCATCTTAATGTTTTGGTCGAACTTACAATAGCCAACACATTTTGCTTGGTTTAAAACCAATAGATTATTCAATTTGACACTTATTATCTAACCAAATTAAATGGAACATAATTACGAATAAAATAAATTTGTTTGATCAAATTTATGTCGCTGTCAAAAGAAAATCGGAATAATAGTTGCGTGTCGCAGTATGGACCCTTTAACTAATCGCGCACATAGGATATAATAAAAAAAAACATGTGAACACATGTTTTTAAATAAAATATGTGGTTTGAAAGAACTGAAAATTTTCTATCGAATGAGTCTGAAATCAATTTCTTTGAACTATTAAAAAATGCCTTAAAAACGAAGAACAATAGTGAACATTTTATTCCGAGTCGTCTTTTATATGAAAAACATTCTTTACCTAAATACATTTTCAAAGATTGTTTCACCGTTTTGGACAAGTTTACTACCGTACCAAAACGTAGTACCATCCGCAAAATACATTACTGAATTCGCAATTCCAGCAGCTATCGCAACTAAATGCAAACGATACCTTTTTTGTCTAAATTGAAAAACCATTTACATAATGAATGCGTAAAAGGAAATACCAATACTAATAACACATACTTGAATTCACGATTGAATACATTCTCATAGAGATTGATAAAGTGTTGTTCTTGGTGAAGAGCAGCAATTGTTCGAATATTTTCTATAGCTTCTGTGGCATTCTGTACATGAGATCGAGACAAGATGAAATCATAATATGCTTTGTTACATACCTGTCCACCTTGTTCACTAAATGAGGTTTTACTTCTTGACTGGCCAGCATCAGCTTCTTGTTGTCCTGAAGACTTTCCTGCCAACGCTAACACAGGAACAAAGCAGAGTAAAATGAATGTTAATTTCCAACTCGATATAAATGCAATAGTAAGAGCCATTATCGTAGTACTCATAGTTTGAACTATGATACCAATACGGATGCCAGTCATACCCTGTAAATATGTTTCATGACGTCATGTTAAAATGGAAAGTCATGCAGAAGATATTCAATTGAATTATCATCTTTCAAGCAGAATCGTCTCTATCGTATAAACTATAATAACTTATCAAAATTCGGACATTGTTTCAGATATTTTGCTTAATTATGTGACAGAATTATTAGAAAAACTTTGCTATGTCATGTATATGTCGTAAGATATCATGTGCTATTTCTGTTAGCTTTCTGTTAAGAAAACACTGTCATTAACCTTAATCTCATTAAGGTAATTGTGCACTTAGAAATGCGCAATATGCATATGCGTGATTGGAAAAGGAGGTAGAGAATAATATAGAATATTTGAAAAAAATGTAAGGAAATAAAGGATGAAATAACATCAACAACATCTACCATACACAGGTTCAATTGAACACTGTTTAAATGAGAGTATAACAAACTTGTTTTTAAACTTCGATGAAAAACTTTCTAAGGATGCACACTCGAGAATGAATATTGTTGATCATGAAAGAATTACACTTCTATGTGTCCTCGTATTGCATCTTAAGACAAGCAACCAAATTCTGTCTTCGTATGCGAACGATGTCAAACATATAATTTGATTGCACATAAGTTCAAAATTTAATCATAAATACATGTTTTATATTTCGTTTCGGATACTGCTTAACTGGAAAAATTCCCTAAAAAACAATCAATTGACTAAAATACAGCAGTTTTACCCGCATAAATCACTTTTTCTATAAAAAAAAAACTGTCGTCTTTCGACAAAAATTTTTCAAAATCAATTTTAAAAAATACATAGAATCATACATATCTTAGTAAAATTGTGTTCGACGAAAAAACGGACGTATGCTTCTTCTGAGGTTTATTTTTCTGAAATCAATTATTCGCACACCTCCAGATGGGCATTCTTCAAGACAAATTGTTTAAATACATATGATTCAATATAACCTTTTAACGTTGATTTTGAAAAAAAGATTTTTATTCAAAGTTGATAATTTTTGTATCTAAAATTACAACATTTCAGTCAAATGATATGTATGAATATATTTTTCATCTCAACGGTAATTGAATCGAAATAAGAAAACATGTATATTCCTAGCTAGTTTTCAAACCTCTATGAAATCATATCCAACATAACAAACAAAATTAATTTCATTATTTTTCCATTTTCGTGACCGACGAATTAATAATATCGTTAAAGTCTACCTTTATAGAAAGCTTTCAGTAGAAAATCATTGTTCATCATTTTCTCTTAAGAACATTATCATACACTTGAAAAGTCACATGAACGCCGCATATCCTTAACAATCCTATGTTATTCATAAGACATTACGGTCAATTTTATGAAAAAAAAAATCTTTTCTCAAAAGTGAAAATTATTTGAAGAATCAAATACCTCCAAAGCCGCTGCATCAGATGATAAACGTGTGACAAGAGCACCGACTGAATTTTCTTTACGATCGAAATAATTCATATCTTGACGAATCATAGCAGCAAATGTTAATTTTCGCATGCGCATCGTTAATGCTTCGCCTGATTTCGAGAATCCAGCGTTACTCAGCAACTGCGCTACTCCTGATATAAAACCAAGAAAAAAAATCGTACCAACATAAACATTTACTAAATATCTTTGTTTATCACGATCTTGTTCAGCAATTAAACCATAGATTTTACTAAACAAGAGTGCAGCTATTGGTTCAATAGCACCCAACATAAGTGCACACATTGTGCCGATTAGAATCCAAGGCCATTCAGGAGCATTAAGTTTCAGAATTTTAAATACAAATGGAATGCGAAAACGTATTTTTCTTTTTATAAAAACACTATCGACTATTTTTTCATTCTTATCATCATCACTCGCATTTGAATCATCTGCCAAACTACAATATTGTTTCGAATATCTTCTCAATACTAAAATTAAACATGCAATAAGTTGTTTCACAAATAAGATAATCACATACATGTTGGTTGTCGAATAAGATTTGTTTCAATACTGTCATCTGTTTGATCATTATTTCTATCCGCTTCTCTTTGATTTTGAGCTTTGATCAATTCATAATAAAGACCTTTAGATCTGATTAAATCATGATGAACTCCATGTTCAACAAGTTGACCATGTCCTAATCCTATAATGAAATCAGCATTTTGTATCGTACTTAAACGATGAGCTATAATAATTGTTGTTCGTCCTGCTTTGGTTGTGTCTAATGCATCTTGAACAATACGTTCACTTTTGTTATCTATTATTGTTTTTTAAAATATCACTTTGTATTTCTTTTAAGAAAACAAACAAAACAAACCAAGTGCACTTGTTGCTTCATCTAGCAAAAGAATCTTTGGGTTTGAAATTAATGCTCGAGCAATAGCCACTAAAGTAATGAAAACAAATATTTATAATTTTTTTTCAACTCATTAAATATTCAAACCTCGTTGTTTTTGACCACCACTTAATTTATCACCCAATAATGTCTTATAATTCTATACATAGATCTATCATTAGAAAATACCACAATGACAAAAAAAGAAATAACAAGATACTTCTGGCAGTGCCATTATGAATTCATGTGCATTAGCCATTTTAGCAGCAGTTTGAATTTCTTCATCAGTTGCATCTAGTTTTCCCAAACGAATATTTTCTTCAATCGATCCAGTAAAAAGTGTAAGTTCTTGACTAACAATTCCAATATGTGAACGAAGCCACGCAACATTCAATGTTTTAATATCTTTTCCATCAATTAAAATTCGACCTTGATTTGGATCATAAAATCTTTGAATCAATTGGATTATTGTACTCTCTATCATAAAAATGAAAAAAGACAACGTCTTTGATAAACAAATATACATAGACAAGAACATTAACTAACTTCCACATCCTGATGCGCCAACTAAAGCATTCGTTTTTCCCGATGAGATCTTTAGTGATAGATTCTTGAGAGCCTATAACAAAGCAGATAAAAGATTTATTTAAAAAACCTTAGTAATCTCTAATACGGGTATTTCTGGTCGTGCAGGAAACGTAAAAGTAACATTTTCAAATTCAATATCGCCAATAATATGTTCAGGTCTATCACCTTCGTTACTCGTCGCATCAATTTTTGATTGCTAATATAAAAACAAAAATATATTCTACAAAATTATTATAATTGAATAATCTTTCATTTACTCGATCAATCATTTCGAACACATAACTAGCACTACCTAATGCTTCGGCAAAATTTTGAAAATTTGGAATGAATTTTAGTGTACTGAATATTGCAACCTATTAATTATAAATATGGATTATTATTATTAATATGTTTTATCAAATCGACAAGATAAGATACCATGCAGGAAATGAGCACCTATAATTATAAAATTTCAAAAAAGGTATCAGACAAAAAGTAGAAGAAATTTTATGTTATCTATTTACTACGATGACTGTACCAGCGGAATAATTTTTACAATCAGTTTGAGTAAGTTGATGACCATACCTAATGTATTATTTAAGATAATTCTATCTTATAACAATGTACAATTAATTCATTTACCAAAATGTGATTGCAAACGTTACAAAATTAAAAATTTTTGAAAAACATTGACATAAACCGATATATATACCTTTTCTAATGCTAATGTTTTTTGTTTCAATTAAATTCTTGGCAAATCTAAATCAAAATGAAAATGTGAACCATAGTCGATAAGTATTTACCTTTCTTCTTCTTTTGTTTGACCGTGAAATGATGCTACTGTTCGAATATTTCCTAATACTTCTTGTGCAATTGATGATGCTGTTGCAAAAGCTGAAACTTCCTTTATGGTATATTTTTCAATAACCTAAAATAGATATTTTCTTCATAATGAAATATTATTATTATATTTCGATTAGTTTTCTTACTACAATTGTTAAATTAAACATTAGAATTATAACCGGTGAAAGAGATACGAAGATAAGTGTTAGCTTATATCCTATTATGAGAGTAAAGATAACTACACTTAATGTAGTCGATAGAAGGGAAAAGAACTGCGGCACATGATAACTACAATAGTAACATGTTAAAAAATAATAAAAAATAAATTTGATTTTCAATACTTGATTCCATCTTTGATTTTATCTATTAGAATAAATAAAATATTAAAACATTTAATAGAATTAAATATTTCAAATTATTATCATACCTAATCCTACAATAAGATGATTAATTAATTCTCCTGGTTTTTGTGTATCAAACCAACCAATTTCTTGCCGTAAAATATTTCGAAAAAGAGCAAAACTAAATTTATCTAGATTTTATGGAAAACATATTCTTTTGCATAGAAACAAAATAACGAACCGAATGCGTCGAACTTGTCGTTCGGCAGCTAATATCCAAGTTGTCCAAGCAATCCAAAAACAAATAATATTACTAAATCCAATAATAATATAATACTTGATTAATCGATTTATACTGTCATGAGCTGATTCAGTTTGATTGTTTTTGTTTGATACAATGGCGCTAGAAAAATTACAATATCAGAACAAAGAAAATAGTAAATAAAGCGTATGTACTTACCATTCGTTGGATATATTAGTAACGTTATTAAAATGGATAAATTTTATTCTTGATCCCCCCAAATTAGCAAGATTATCTGTTATTCCTTGAAAAAAATACATTGCCACTGGATAAAGTCCTACAATTATAAAACAAGATATTTGATCATAATCAATGTTTCTTTTAGTATTTGTCTCATTTACCACCAGATATTAATGCTAAAATGAAAATAAACAAAATGAAAATGATGATGAATATTTAAATAAAAACTAACCAGCTATGATACCAGTAGTCATTAATAAAATATCTAAATTATCAGCATAGCTAAATATTTGATAGATTTTCAAACGATCAGTTTTAGATTTAGTTGCTTCTTTTGATTGATGAAAACATCTAAAATTAAACAAAAATCATAAATAAAATTTTAAAACTTTCAATAAAAAAGAAAAACTAACGGAAATTTCGAAAGACAAAACAATCGTCCACAACGAATCGTTCGTTGAAATATATCGAGTTCTTCAATTTGTTTTTCTTGAATATCATTATCATCAGAATGATCAACATCAAATTCATTCGGAATAGGAGCTACATGTAAAGCAGATCTATAATAAATAGAGTGAATGTATTTCACAAAATCACAATAACATTTTTTTTTATTACTCCTCAGAAATATCATCCGTATATTGATATAAAGATCTTTGTTGAAGTTCATAATTATCCAAACATGATGTTATTGAGTTGATATTGTCGGATTCACTTTTAATCACTGAATAAGACATTTAAAATGTTGCTTTACTAAAAAACAAGATGTTTAATTGCAAGAGAAAAATTATCTTGTTAAATAAGAATATTTATTCTTTCTCTATCTCAAAGATCTGTTAAATAAAACAAAGTCACCTGAATTTCGTGAAGTTCAAATCAAAATTTTTTATCATTTTAGTAGCTTTTTATTTTTATTTTAGAAACCTTTGAATGACAATATTCATGCCATTGAAATATGAATACATGCATGCATAATGAAAAAAAGAATATTATTTTATGTATTTTGAAACAGAATTATTAGTTACGATACTTTTTCTATGCTAGCTTGATAAGTTAAGAAATGTTGTTTCATAATGCATGTATAATTAAAAATGAGCATGACATCATGTCTTCCGAAAGAACAAAAACTAGTACGAAACAATGTTTCAAGACAAAATTATAAAGAAAAAAGCTACTTGCCATTTTAGTGCATCTTTTTCTTTCTGCAATCAATCGAAGTGCATGGTTTTCGTACATGTAACGTGTTGAAATACATTCTTTTTATATCCGACACATTTTTTCAATTTAAAAAGCGACTTTGAAACATCGTCCGAACACGTGGCTCTGTACATATTTATATATTTTTCTTTGTCGTTCTTCTCAATACACTTTTTATCAATGAGCTGTTTTTTTTCTTCACAAAGCGGTTTACTTTTGTCAAGACATTGAAATGTATTTTTCAATAAATATTTTTATCAAGAAAAATGAAACTTTGACTCATGAATGTGGTAGAACGTGCTGGTTTTTTCATTTTTCTTGTCTAAAAAAGTAAATGAGTTTCTCATAAAATATTTCCATGAGTATTTAGATTCATATTGCTAGCAAAATCTTTTTTTCTATGAATAAGGTTCGCAGTAGCATATGCCCAAAAATCGGGAAATCAGACAAGACGAATTTTAATAAAAATCTAGAGTTTAAAAAGAAATTCGACATTGTAAGACTTATTCCAATACATTTTCTTACGATAAAATCTACATAATCATCAACTGTGTGACAACGTATTGCTTTTTCAAGTATCCATCACACCCTTAACTAAATATATTCACATGTTTAAAAAAGCAGGCACTACTGTCGGAATCCAATTGAATTCGCTGCAGTACTCTAAAAGATCTCTGATGTTGGCATAAGGTACTTATTTCTACTGAACAAATTAAATAAAGTTGAGTCATTTGATTGGGTGTCGAATTCATTCATCTGAACATTTTTAAAATTCAGTTAATTGAAAACAGCGAAATCTCAGATAGTCTTTCGTTCTTATTTGCTACAAATGCGTTACAAATAATTTTATATAAATCTTGAAGCGGATTATAATCGAAAAAAAATACGTGCCATAATAATGAATATATAGTACTATAAGATTCGATAGTGAAAACTTAGAATTTTCAATTAAAAATAGTGCAACTATGAGACTTGTATGAAATAAAGTTCAATACTATTCAGACAGAGATTAAATGATATTCCATTTGAAAAATATATTGTTTAGATATATTCATTTTAAAGGTAAAGTTTATAACAATAGCGCAACAGAATGTATATAAAAATAAAAGAACAAGTTCAAAAGAATTCGTTCGAAATTTATTTTTTTTAACAAAATTTCTACAAAAAGTTATGTCAAATTATTTTGTTGCATCAATTGCATACGAGTCACTTCTCTAGATTGAAAGAAAATTTAGAAAACCATATTTACAACGGTAAGTATAACAATAATTCCCAACATTTTTTCGTGATTATAGATCTTATAAATACACTGCGACTACTTACTCAGGTCAAGCAATCAGACTATTAGATCTAACACGATATCTACAAGATTATATTGGATCTTACTGTATGATCTTATACGAGCTTACAAAATCTTGTGCAATTTCGTCTGCAAGGATTTGGTTGTGGCTGTGGGTGAGACACGTATCGCTAATAACACCCGCACCTGCACCCGCACACCTTCTATCTCTCTACTTGCAAATTCATTGTGGATTGTGTTACACAGCAGAATAAACAAACAAAAGAATCAATACTTTGTCTTTTAGATTTTCACGATGTTTCTAACTTGTATTTTTACTGTACCAATAGTTGCCTTTATTGTTGAAGTTATTTTTCACGACGGCTGTCTTCTATAATTTGATCACGATTAACAATATTACCTCATAAAGAAAAATATTCTTGAATTTCAAACTAAAATTCGTACAATAGCGGTTGAAAAAAAACTAGAAGATAAAAATAAATGAGTATCATTAGAATAAGAAACCGACGAAGAAAATAGAGGTGTTTATGGTACCGTCATTCTGATAATTATAATTACGGCACCGTAGAGATGAGTTTTTAAAAATTTTAATGCCTTACACTAATATATGTGACTGAATACATCTCTTCAACTATTCACAGCAGTTCAAGTCTATGCAGTAGCTAATGATACCAGAGAAACTTGAAGCCTCACTCTTCGTCTAATCCACATCTATCGTACTCTTGCAAAAAAGAGATAAATACAGCATATGCTTTGTGACTATGACAAACGTTAGTTGATCAGATCTTGTTTTCTCTCTTTCTCGAAATATTCATCTATGTAATTAACTCATTATTATTGATTGCAAATATCACGGTCTTAGCATTAAAGCGTTGTGGTATGATTTTATTCGTATATCTTCTGGAAAATTATAAATATGAAAATGAAGATAGGTTTTGTGGTTAATTGTCGTCGTAATTTAAATACCCTAGTGTGAGTTAGTATGACATATAATTGACAGTTTGATCCATATTCCAATGAATAAATCGATTCATGAAACGAATTTTGGAATGCAAAAGTGTTTTGAAACGTCAACAAGCATGTATTGACCTTGTGGTTGATACAGATATCACTGAAAGAAAGAAAGAAAGAAAGAAAAATCAAAACATATGCATACACTTTTCTCGTTTGCATAGCCAGCGCGATCACTATAACTTTGTTTTTTTTCTTGCAGTTGCGAATGAAAAAAAGTATTTTGTGAAAATTTTGCAGTATTCAACAACTCAGGTGGACCTAATAGCACATATTTGTTTTTTTTTAATATTCTGTGCGATCACACATGTTCTATTTTCAATCTAAATAAATATTTCAATAACTCAACCAAAATAAGATTCTTCTTTTGTAACTGTTCTTATAATAGATTCTACATATAGTTCGTATATCATTAATTATAGATCTGTGAGTTTCAAATGGGTCAACATTTATCTACTATTAATTCACAAATAATTGACTTATTTAAATCAAAGTGTTCTACTATCAATCCAGCTGAAGCCATATCTTGTATTGGTCCATAAAATATTCATTTATTTTTATCTTCAAAAAGTCGTTCAGATAAAATCAATGAGCAATATCAACTATCAAGACAATCAATAAAACAAATTCAAAATAATTGATGTTCAGATAGATAACATATTTAAATCCATGAGCGATGATTACCAACAAATAATACAAGATATAAATAATAATTTTGAAAATCAAAATCAATTAAAAATATCCCTTTTAAATAAAATAAATGATAATAAACAACAACTTTCAACTACATCAACACTTTCTGCTTTAATTAAATCAGCTGAAAAACTCGTTCCAAATAAAATTCATCTTTCACATGCATCAAAAACAGATTCATCATCATTATCATCCGATAGTCGAAATACTGAAAAATAGAAACAAATCTACGCAAATTTTTAAATTCTAAAATATTCAAAGACATTCTACCCATCTTGAATTAGCTTATATTCGATACACATCATGTTTATGATTTACAAAATATTTTTTCACAACTCAATGATCATTTTATAGCAAATCGTCCTGAATGAGAACAAGAACAAATGATAAACAAAAATACAACATTAAAACAAGCAACAGATTGAGGTGTGGGCGTGGTTGAGAATGCAAGAAAGAATAACACTCACACCCACGCCCAAAGAACAACAGTTTGACTCGGAATATTACAAGTGTGGTTAACTATGTTACTGCATATAACTCGTATATTGTGAAATTCTGTGTTTATTCTCTGATAAAGCAGAGTTAATTTTTACTATTATCATATTTCGTTTGTTGCTATAGATAAGCGGTATAAAACACCTTGTTATTGCATTATATGCATATTCTTTCTTCATTATTTTACATATTACGGTATGAAAGCAAAAAAACGAAATTAGAAAGTAAAAACTGTATTGAATTTTTGCTTTTTTATTTTTTCTTGCATTTTTTTTCTAGCAAAAAAGAGCCTTAGGAATTGGTAAAAACATTTCTTCGCTTTTATCTTACAATATCGAATTTTATTTTCAGTTTATTGAAGGAATCTGTTACTCATTTTGAAAATCTTCCAAATGAACTTATCTAGGAATATCTGAATTTATTGATATTTTTCAAATCTATAAAAGTTTTTTCAATCGTAATCAACGATTTAAAAATCTTCTTATTTATGCAACTTTTCCAATTCAAATAAACATTTCATCTGTACCTAAATTGTTTTTTTTAACGTCACTATAAAGATATTATTGCATCCAATATGCATCGAATAAAATCACGTTATTTATCAAATTCAATAGCTGTCAAAATGATGTTCTCATCACCTAGTATTATTCCTAAATTTATGCGACTTGAAGCACTTGTATTAAATGATATTGAATCTAAATATTTTTAAAATGTTCTAAATCAAGTATGTTGTCAACCTATTTTATCTTCTTTGGTTATAATATGCAGTGATCAGAATAAGAAGCCAGATAAGTATCTTTACCAAATATTTCGTTTACCGCGCTGAAATACTGTAAGTTATTACTTCGACCAAGGAATGTATACGAGCCAATGTCTATCGATATCAATAGCCACAGTTCTATCGAACATCTCATCATCATGGATAATATTGAAATTAATAATTTAATTAGTTTGTTATCATGTTTTCCTGAACTTCGTCGTTTGTCATGTGATTGTTTCTATGTAGATAGAAAAACACAATTAAAAAGATTTTCTATTAAATAAAATCATTTGTCACATGTTTGTCCCAATTTGAATTCATGATCAAGAATATTTTTCATCAAATTTAAGTTTTATATATATCGACAAGTGAATACAATGAATATTTAGATGCACAACAATGGGAACAATTAATGTTATATAATATGTCACATTTGCGTAGTTTTAACATTTTTTATAAATCTTTCACACATAATGACAATGAATAGCAAGAGTATCATTATTTGATTAAAAAATTTAATGCTTCATTTTGGTTCGAACAACAATGGTTCTTTACACATAAACATTGTACTAACGGACATAGAGATGTTACAATCTTCCATTCAATAAATCCATACAGGTAAAAGTAAATTGATTTGTTTAATACAATAGTTTACATGTTATATCTGCTTTTTAGGAGAAAGTATTGGAAATTAAATGAGAAAGCATAAGATAGTCCATGTTTATATAATAAACAGACTAGTATCACTACAGTTAGTTGTATTTCTATTCGAAGTAAAAGTGAAGTATTAGATTGTGAAGGTTATTTTTCATATCCTGCATAGCTCATTTTTGACCGCAACTTTCTTAAAAATGAGAGTTCAACGATATTGGCTCTTAATCGTATTATGTCCTTAAAACGCTTGACACAATTAGTTATTCGTTGTGAATATTTTTCTTTCATTGTATTAGTTAAATTATTAACATTTACACCTAATATCCAAAAATTTCAATTTCAATTCATACGATTCTGGAGACAAGATCCTATACCATTTGAACAAAAATAAAGAATTTCAATTGGTATCTACTAGGAATAATATTAAATATGTCACTATTAATGACAAGAGCCGCATAAAAAATGTGAAAGCATTATTGGCTCTATGTCCTCGATTAGAGCATCTTACAATAAATTTATTTTGGGGAGATTTCGAAGAAATTATACGATCATTGTTATCAAAAAATAATCGTCATTTATGTTCATTTTGTATAAGACCAAGAGTTGCTCCGGGTTGGGTTGGACAATTGAAAAATTGATTGAATCCGAATAACTGCTTGATGATGGTTCAATAGAGTACGTTAATCATCGAGTGTATTTATTGCGGTAGAATTTGATGTTGTAAATGAAAATAACTTTTGTTTTGTGAAATATTGATTTTTTTTCAATAAAGAAGACAAGGATGGGATGTGGGTGTGAGGTGCGGGTGAGATGTGGGTGGGTGTAAGTATGAGAGTAGATAAAGCGAAGACTTATGCTCAAACTGTTACATGCATGAATAAAAGATTAACACCGGATGAACCCAATAAAACACTACTTCGTCAACGACCTGAGTGAATAATATGTAATGAAATTGTGCCTTAAGAGATCTAATAAACAGATATAGAGTCGGAAATAAAAGAAATTCTATATTTGTAGCTACAATTTTTTAGATCATAAAGTACATACGATTGTTCCATACAACATACTTTATATATATTATTTTATAATTTATACTATGATTTTAATTATATATGATGAATATCCATTTTTTATTAAAACAATTGTAACCAAAGAAGTATTACATGGAGTTTTTCCAAATATATTAACTGATATACAAAAAAAAGAATTAAAATCAATATGTAATGAAGTTATGTTTATAAATAATTATGCGGATAGTATTAAAGAAACGCTATATGAGTTATGTAACAAGCATAAATATACTAAAATAATTGCTCCAAGAGAAACTGATTTATTATTAGCTGCCGAATTGCGAGAAAAATATGGAATTAAGGGTCAAACTTTGAAAAGCGCTATGTGTTTTCGTGATAAAGTTTTAATGAAAAGTATATTAGAAAAATCAAATATACGAGTTCCAAAATTTAAATTAATTAAAAATCGTAGAGACATAGATGATTATCTGACAAAAACTAAAAATACTTATCCTGTGGTTATAAAGCCAACCTTAATGTCTGGTTCTAGAAACGTAAGTATAATAAAGTCATACAATGAAATTCTTGAATGGTTAATTAAATATGATTTTGGCAGCATTGATTGGGAAATAGAAGAGTATATTTCAGGTGATTTTTTTCATGTTGATGGGTTGGTTCAAAATGGTAATATTATTTCAATATGGCCGTCTAAATACGTAACACCCTGTGCTGACATATCATATGACAAATTAGATTGTTCTTACATCATTTCACATGATAATTTTTTAATGCGACCATTATGTTTATTTGCTGAAAAAGTTATAAAAGAATTACAACTTTATTCACAATACAAACTGAGTTCGGCTTTTCATATGGAACTCTTTTATAGCAATAATAAAGAAATTGTATTTTGCGAAGTAGCAAGTAGAGTCGGAGGTTGCAGAATACATGAAAATTGGAGTAGGGCATTCAATATAGATTTATATGAACAACATATTAATATGTCAATGGATTATGAAATTACTGTAGAACAACCAATTCAACCAAAGTTATTGGTGGGTACACTGCGAATTCCAACAAAATTAGGAACAATAATTAGAATACCTCGTGTGCTGTGTGACGATGTGAAGGGAATAGATGGGTATATCTGTTATAAATCTACCGGCCGCATTGATGATTTCAAAACAGTAGATGGATTTTTGGTAAATCTTGTTTTTAGTTTTGTTACTGGAAAAGATGAAAATGAATTATTAGCAAATTTAAATAATTTCAAGAAATGGTTTTACGATAATACTTTAATTTTATGAATATAATAGCTTATTACGACACAAACAGATCTATCTGCAGAAGATGCTCGATCCGTAGCCCTTAACTCTTGTTTTTCAGCAATCGACGTAGACTATTTCGAAGTTTTATGTGCTTTGTAATAATATGTACGAAAAAATTAATTGTCGAGGCGTTTCGTGTTTTTTGACAAGAAACTACTCATTGGGGCACAAATGTGGGAGAAATACTCGTACTCGAGTATGATTTTGCTCGTACTTGTCCTGGTACTCGAGAGGTTGGTACTCGTACTCGTGAATTAGATATTTGAGATCTTAGATGAAGTATATTTTATTTAAAAAAATTCGTATGACTTTATACTCTCCAAGGTTGTACTAAACAGTTCATGACTTTTTTCGATGGATTTATATATATATATATATATATGTGACAAATAGCTGTATGACGACATGTGCCATGTTGTATTTTCGTTATTCTCTTTGTCCATTCTCTTATCTCTTTCCACTAGTAATATTATATATCTATATATGATTGGTGTTCGCGTCATGCACAAGTCTGTCTTATTTTCTTCATTTTATAAATACTAAATTCGATTTTGCTAAACAAATTGCTAGCTTTTGTTGTTCAATTCTGTTTTGAAAATATTTATGCTTCAATTAGCTATTGACCTCTTGATATTCATTTCTGCTTGTTATGTCTACTAATTCAATTATATGTAATAGTCAATCTGATTCTACCATTACTATTACTAATGATGATTCTCCACTTGTACTCAAAGATTTTTTTTTGAATCTATGTGTTAATATCGAAAAAAATCGATGGACATAGAAACGTAAACTTTGTTCATTATCTATTACTGATACGTATAAAACTACTTCAAATTTCTTGAAGCATTTGAAGAACAAACATCAAACTATGTTTAATGAGTGGGAAAATATGGTGGGTGTGGGTGTGGGTGTGGGTGTGGGAGTGGGTGTGGGTGTGGGTGTGGGGGTGGGTGGGGGGGCAGGGGGCGGGGGGGAGAGGTGGCAG